CACAACTGTGGCAAGAAAGGTTGTAAAATGGGGCAAAACTTATTTAGCAACTGTCTTGCTTCGCAATGGAAATTTTGAACTCAGTTGTGGTTGCAAGTCCAGGACTAGCTGTACACACACACATCTGTATGTGGATGGATACAATTCTGATACAAGTGTTCCTATCACAGAATAACTGCTCTGTGAAACATACCACTGAACAGAGGGCTGTAGAACAGCAAGGCATCAATTGCCTTTATCATGTGGAATACTAGTAGTGGGTAGATGTTCACTAAGCGTGTAACCACCAGTCTACCAGTTCTAAGCTGCATAATTGCAACTTTTTTGGGCTGCTGCACAGAAAGTCATTCATACTTAGGAAATAGTGGGTGAGTGATACATTAAAGGATTTTATTTTATTTTTATTTCCCGCCTTTTATTATTTTAAGGTGGAAAACATAACCAATACGTTTTCCTCTTCCTATTTTCCCCCCAAGAACAACTCTGTGTGATGAGTTGGCTTAAGAGACCGTGACTGGCCCAAATTACCCTAGCTGGCTTTCATGGCTAAGGCAGGACTAGAATCACAGTTTCCCGCTTTCTAGCCTGATGCCTTAATCACTAGATTTAACTGACTCTTTTATCACTAGCTTGTAGTTGCTGAGATCTTTATCAACTGGTTTAACTCGTGTATCATTTCTCAAGTACTGTATATAGGACATCTTAGTTTAATAGTGTACCTTGATGTGGATAACTATTACGGGTTATCTCCCTGCATATATATATTTTCTGCCCTCATTGCAACCTGGCAAGATCATCCCATCAAATTTTATTCTTCACAAATATGTCTATTTGATCTGATCCTTTGGTAAGATTCTGATTTTCTACTGCTACTATTTAATCATGTTCTAGATATTTATGGAGATTCTCAATTGTCCATGTAATGGTTGTCCCAAAGATTCTTTTCAAAAGGCAACTGGACTTTCTTGGGTTTTTTTCCTTGAAAACATTTTGTTTCTCATAAAGAAGCTTCTTCGATAAGAAGCAAAATGTTTTCAAGGGAAAAAAAAACCCAAGAAAGTCCAATTGCTTTTAGAAAAGCATCTTTGTGACATGTTCTAGATCAGAGGTCCTCAAACTTTGGGGCACCAGGGACCGATTCTGTGGAGAAAAGTTTTTCCATGGACCGGAGACTGAGTGGTTTTGTGTGCTGCCTGCGTCCCACAGATGGGGCTTTGCTTGTTTGTGCGGATCAGTTTCTGGCATGCCATGGCCCGGTACCGGTCCATGGACCAGGGGTTGGGGACCCCTGTTCTAGATAGTGGATAGCTAAAATAGATCAACAGTGTTCACTGTGGATGGATGGAAGGAAGGATGGATGGATGGATGAATAGCCTCTCTAGTGCTCACCAAGTACGATGGAAGGAATTTCAACTCCTTGAATGCTTAAAAAATATAATCTTTAGTCATTATAATGGGGAATTTTATGAGTTGAAGTTCCAAAAGATCTAGAAGATGAGGAAGTTGGTTTCATAAGAAGATCATAGGTTAGTTTGGCAGGCATTTGCTTTTAAAAATATAAAGAAAATAAGGGTAGCATCAGCCTTCCCTAACCCAGCACCCTCAGCATATGGAGGATTTGGCCATGCTTGGTGATAGTAAGATTTAATCCAACACATCTGGAGAGTAGGGGCATTCTCAGGGAGGACTCAATGACATCAAATGGCAGGCGCAACTGCAGTTATTGAAGCTCCACCCTTTTTAAATGAATCACATGAAACGCATGCAAATGAAAAAGGATGGGCTTTGGTCACTTAGTCATGCCTGCCATTTTGATATTGTTGAACCCCTTGTGGATGTTCCTACTAGCTAGACACTCTCAAGCTAGCTGAGCCTGGTATTTGGAATTCTGCATGTGAAACATCCTGAATTTTCAACATTATAATAGAGCAAAATGTTCTAGTGGTCTACTACAATTTATTTTATGTGAGGCTGTATTAAAAGATAACCCAGAAACTGCAGCTGGCACAAAACACAGTGCCGAGATAACTCTTTATCCATTTAGAATAACATGTATATTAAAGACACTGCATTGGTTGCCAAGGGGATAAATGAGTATCTGCAGTTCTCATTTTGTTGTTATTTCGAAAACTATGTGACCTGTTTTATTTTACTGACTCCAGATGATTGACTGAGAGTTTGAAATTGGATTCTTTTCTTTCATTTGTTTTATTTTTCCAATTGTTATGCAGAATTTTAATTGTTTTAAATTCTTCATTACTTTATAAGTAACTCAAGACAGTGAATATATCTAATACTCCTTTTTCCTCCTATTCTCCCCATAGTAACTCTCTGGGGTGGGATGGGCTGAGAAAAAAGACTGGCCCTAAGTTCACCCAGCCAGCTTTCATGTCACAGGAGCTCACAGCCAATCAATTTTTAGGCCAGCACCTTCTCCACTACACCAAACTGACAAAAAAAATCCTTTGGAACTGGGGCAGATTATAAATAGAATAAGCAAATAGAATAAGCAAATGTTCATAAAGTGGAGCAAATATGTATATTGCAAACAATGGGCCTTTAACCCCATATTCAAAGCGCTCTGCTTGGATCTACAGCAGCCCTCCAGGTCCTCAAGCAAGGATCTGTTCCTGTATCAGGGGTGGCTTCCACCTCTTAACCTGAGTGGTCTGGGTTTGAATTGAAGGATTTTAGGCATGTAAAGAATCCTTGATCTACAATCCTGCCTTAGCAAAGAAGAAGCCACTCATCCGAGTGACGTCATGGACAGGATTCCAGAAGATTCTCATGAAATCCATCACTTTTATACTACGCAGGATAGGGAGAAAGAGATAAAAAATAATTTAGTGTTTGCAACAAATGTTTTAGGAAAGTATACAACCTAGGAAACGTAAAAGTCTATGCCGCGTTTATGTAGTAGTTTTACTCCTTTTGGTCCACAGACACCAGTGGATAGACTTCTCATATGTCTTCAGTGATTTATCAGCTCCAGTGTTTCTCAACCTTGACAATTTTAAGGCATGTGGACTTCAACTCCCAGAATTCCACAGCCGGCAATGCTGGCTGTGGAATTCTGGGAGTTGAAGTCCACATGCCTTAAAATTGTCAAGGTTGAGAAACACTGAAGTTGCTAGACACCTGCTCTTCCTGACTCACGTATGGCTGGAGAACCTGACAAGCTGAATCAAGGAAGTTGTGTGTGCCTTGCTCCAGTTGTAGGAGGTCCTGGCAGCCTTATAAAGGAATATATTATAACCTTTCCTCAAGAGATCCTCTTTGGATACAGCTATTCTGAATAACTACTGGTATCTCACCCTCTACAACTTTCTCTTTTTACAGGGGTCTATTGAGGCATTGGAGGTGGGAGCCAGTTATAGAATGACCAGGAAAAGGCAGATTATCTATACCAGCCAAGATTCAACCCTGGGCATGGAAGAGAGATGGCATTGATTGCTAAATAGTTGACTTTTGCCTAGACCTGAATAAGAATATGCTCGCCCTGGTTGTTTTAGGCCCCCATAGTATCTCCTGAATCATCTGTGAGGATTGGAGGAACTGGTTCACATTGTGTCAAGCCCTACAAGCAATACGCGGCCAAGGAAGCAACATTTACCAAAATCTCATTAATCAGATGTAATGCCAGGAAAATGGGTTAATTTACAGGATCTCAGAAATTAGATGAAGAGATTCCAACCCTTATTTATTAGTGAGCATATGAAAACAGGGTGTCTGTGAGCTGTTTCACCATTTTTCTCACAGAATCCCTAAACGATGGACTGATGCTTTAATTCAGAGATAAGACTGAAATGTCCAAAACAATCCTTTCCCCCCCCCCTTCAAGAATTCCCACATTCAGTGGTTCTGCTTTTTGGGCAGTTTTAGCTGAGGATTGTGAGGAACCAAAGGTTGGTCTATGGCTGTGTCTTTATCATAAATCATAGCACTTAGTTATCTTCTGCCACCATTTTTCAACATTTACATGAAGCCACGGGGGGGGGGGGGGGAAATCCATTGCTACCCTGGTCTGCACTGCGATTGAAGTCTTATCCTAGAACTGGGAGACCATTGGGGGTCTAGGTTGATTCCCTCCCCCCAGCATGCAATTGAAGTCCATTTCCTCTTCCACGATACACATTTTATATAGTTATGCTCTTCTAGCAGTCTTCGAGTGCTAGTTTCAAGAAAACGTCTGTTGCTGAACAACTGATTACATGTGATTACAGACTGTACTAAGAACTGCTAGATCTAACAGGATTGATATGTTTATGAAATTGGTGTAAATTAAGGCAGACAGACTGGAAGTGTTATGAGAAAGAACAGATATACTCTAGGACTGATGGCATAAAATTATAGGATAACTCTCACCTTCCAAAAGATTACTTCCACTGGCAACACATTCAAGAGCTAAAATATGGCTTTCAAATATAGTAGCTTCTATTTCTAAATTCCTAGCAATTCCTGGCATTCCCCCATCATTATCAGCTCATTATAGGAATATAGGTAGTCCTGAAAATGAAACTTCAGGTACAACTTCACATGATCAAGTATTTGTAGGAATTCTTTCCCAGGAGCATGGACTAAATACCCCATATTTGCTATGCTGTTATGTTATTCTCAACCCACTTTGGCAAAATATTATTGGAACAATAATCTGAATTGAACAAGAGTGAAGCAATTACAGTAGCATGCCATCAGGAATGCTATCAAGGGGACAAATATTTCTGCCAGAAGAATTGAACTATAGGAACTTGCTCTCCTATTCTAGGATATGTTGCCAATTCTTTGCATACAAGAACACTATGCATAGTTGTTTGGTCTATAAAATAAGTCACAAGTGTGATGTTTCAAGCAAGTGTAAAGCTATTAAATTTATTCATAAATGTGCGGATAACTTTGAGAAAAGCAAGAAAATTCAAAACAAAATAATTTTATAGTGGTCATTAACCAGTTGCTAAAACATTAATATAAGAGCAAAAAAAAAAAAAAACCTTGAAAACCTCTAGAGTTCCAGACAGATTTATTAAAAACTGCTTGTTGGCTACATTAATATTTTATGTCACATCTTAGCTTTATCTATACAAGTGTTTTTCAAGTTAGAATGATTGAATATGGATGCTTCTTCTAGCTTCAAGTTACAACACTCCTTAAAACATTTTTAAAATATGCTCCACCTTACAATCTATTTTACCCTTACCTTGTTTTAATAAAATAAAAAAACAAACAAACAAGAAAAGACAAGTTGTGTTTGTTAGGCAGCAGCATCTCCTAATTGGAATGTCTTATTCTGATTACTGCAGCATTTGAAAAATTGTAACTCCCTAAGAAATTGGATAGAAACTATCAAATAATGAAGTACGTGATTTTTTCAAAAAAAGAAAAGGTAAACTTTATAAAATTGCATAATTTTATGTTTGCTCTTTTTCACAGATATAAGGAAAACGTTCTGTACAAGCCGTTTTCTTTTTCCTACTTTTAGAATCTTTCCAGAGATTATACATACAGTCTTCTTTTTTATTATTTTCAATAGATTGAGTCCTGTTAAGAAAAAATGCCAGGCATTAATTATTAGAAATACAGTACAGTATCCTACAGTATCCATTAAGAACAAATAAATTCAGGATGACTTTCAACCTAAGGTTCTTTAGCACTGCTAGGATATAGCTTTTTCTTACAATCTATTGGAACCAAAATTAAAGTGATAGTTTGTACGATGCTTGAATATCACTATTTAATCTGTGAAATATCTCAGTGTAGATAATGGTTTTATTTGTTATATATTTCATTCATTTTTCTCCCTCACCAATCTCTCCAGACAGGAACAAGAATTAAGTAAAGATTTTGAGAGGAACCAAACTATGTTTATTTTTATTCAGTGGATTGACATGGCTGCCCATCTCATGCATGTTGACTTTGGGTATTAAAAATACTAAAAACATATACAAAAATAAAAAACCTATAGCATCTGGAAAAATGTAACAAAGCTATAATTCAACACTCAAGCAAATTTTTTCTAACAGGGATAGCAATAGTGAAAATTCCAACAACACTTAGCAATCCACTGTGGATAGGTTAACTACGCAATTGTGTTTGAAGGCAGTTACAAAATAATATATGAGATTTGGAACAAAATGGAAAAAGTGTCTGATCTTTCTACAAAGATCTGTTCTGACTGTAATATCTAGCTGGCTATTTGCCAAGTTTCCCCCCTGGCATCTTCTTCCCAGTGTATCACCCACCACTCAACCTGGGAAGGCAGCCATGAATAAAAAGGAAGACTGCCCATCATCCTTTCCTCAGTCAATAGGCAGGTTCTCATGTTAGATGAATTAGGGTATTCTTCCATTAAGGATTTTACCCAATGGTTAGGTAAATATGGTTGTTAACTTTTCTTGGTGGCATCTCTAGCTAGGAGTGTAATCCAGGACTTGACTTTTATGGAAGAGATGCCACCAAGAGATACACATTTCCTCCTCAGTGTTGCTCAAAAGCTATGATTTTCCCTCTGCTCTCCAGACTTTCTATAACGGAAGAAGAGGGAAACCTTGAAAAGCAGCCTATAATAGACTCCTCCATGGGCAGATCTCCATGAAGCAGTCTCCTTTCTTTTGAGCACATAGTTTTTGAGTGATAGTTTGCCCTTGCAAGCAAGAGGTTTTGAACTACTCTACTTATGATGTAAAAGTGTCACCATAATCAAAACATATCTTAAAATGTTTTGAAAAATCTATTTCAATTCCATTCATCTGTGGCTACTTTCCTAGAGGTTCCTTCTCTCTTTTTCTCTCCTAAAAGACTTATCAAGAAAGGAACAATCAGAGGAAGAGCCATCATCAGTAACTTTTACTTACGCCTCTTGAAAGGATTTGCCATTTATCCACATCCACTTGTCTTTAGGGTGCCTCCTGAGGCCAATCCAATAGCTAGAATTTTTTAGATGGTCCAGAAATCCCTGGGGAAAAATTAAAGCAAAAAGGATTATATTAATGTCTGGAGCTATGACTAAGATCCAATTCACTGAATCAGGACTAAGGGTACTGGTGGCATTCACCCAAACTGGGATTGCAGCAGATTTATTGAATTTCACTTCTCTTAAAACAATCCAAGATTATAGAAAAAGCTCTATTTGAAAATTCTTTAAAAATACAAACACAAAGATGTGAATTAATGAATCTCAATTATTTTTACTGAAAGGAAAATTCAGAGATTTCCAGAATACCATCCAGCAGTAAGCTTCAACAGATAACTCTGTTGATTGGGATTAACATTGTGGTCAATTATCTTTTCCCAGTTGCACTCAAGTATACTTCAAACATGCTGTGGCAAAATTCCTTTTCCTCCTGATCTTGTTTTCATTTCATCCTCAACTCATACCTGAGGCGCTTTAAAGTTGTCCTTATTTGTTTTGATGTTAAAGCAGCGGTTCTCAACCTGTGGGTCGCGACCCCTTCGGGGGTCAAACAACCCTTTCACAGGGGTCTAAGACCATCGGAAAACACATATTTCTGATGGTCTTAGGAACCCAGACACTGCTTCTCTATCCGTCCCCAGGCGGGTCCGCCCACATGCAGATACGCCCATATACGAGTACCTGGCATGATGACAGTTGGTCCTTGGGCGCCTCTCGCTCTTTGCTGCTGCCACTGCTGCTGCTCGGGCTCACATACTTGGCATAACTGAGCAGGTGAAAGGGCGCTCTGCAATGCGCATGTCTCACGGCCAGCAGCTGGGCTGGAGCGCTTTTTACCTGAGCACACGTGGCCTTGCTTTCCTCGCCTTCCAGCCCCAAGGCTGCCCAGCCTGAGTCGAGACGTCAGAGAACAAGAGAGGCCAGGTTTGCCTGGCTCCTCCCCCCCATGACACCGACGCCACTCGCATGCGACCTTCACACACACGCACGCGGGGACGGGGCACTGAGACAACTCTTCCAGCATTCACCCCTCTCTCTCTTCCCTCTTCCAAACTTAACCTTTTCCTCAGCCCTCGAATAATAAATAAAGTCATTGGTGCTGAACCCCGAGAGAAGCCAGTTGGATTAAACTCGGTTCTTTTCGGTTTGAGAAGCATTTCCTGCCGCCTTCAATCATGGCTTGGGGAGAAAAAAAGCAATGAAGGAACTTCTTCCCCCTGCCAGCACTCAAAAGTTCTCAAAGTTGAAATGTGCAGCTGACAAAATACCTGCCTCTTATACGGCAGGGAATGAGAGTTAGAGGGTCAGTGCAAGAGGTCGTTCAGTACTTATTTTCAAAACACCCAAGTGTCTTGGAGAAGGGCAGCCAGGTAACTTGTTCCCATGGATAATGTAATGTAATCTGTATTAGGCCTAATAAGTACACAGTGTACTATAAACATGATGCAACAATTAGTTCTTCCTGGTATTTAACTTTCAAGCCAGCTTTTCCCTCCCACACCTACACGAAAGAAAGAATCATCAGGTGATGGTGGAGTTTCAGAATGTGTGTGCTTTTTTTGTTTGCTTTTGTGTGAGGATACTAACAAAGAAGACAAACAGATGCAACAGCTGGCCTTGTGTAGCAGCAAATGTGCCATGGAATTGATCACAATGTGGTTTGGAGGAAAAACCTTTTGAACAGGCTTCACAAACTGATCTTAAAACTTCTGTCAGTTGTCTCCCACTGACACAACTTCATCATGGGAGATCATTTGATTGAAAACAACTTTGAAACAGATGTCCCCTATTTAAAATGGATGGCTATAGAACATCTTCACAGAACACCCTGTAACCTGCTGATTTATTTTCATCTGACTGGAACTTTTAATATAAGCTAAAGTGCCACCTACAAAGAACAACTTGCTTGCCTGAGTTCATTGAATGTTTCTTGAATGGGAATTTAAAAAAAAACATAGAAAGGAATTACCTTTAATTTTCAGTGCAAATGAGAAAAATAAATCACTTCAAATTGCACTGAGGAATCATGAGATTGGATAACTTATTTCTAACCCGCATACGTATGTGAAAGAATGATCATTTGAATGAGTAACAATGAAAATACATCCTGCATATCAGATATTTACATTACGATTCATAACAGTAGCAAAATTACAGTTATGAAGTAGCAACGAAAATAATTTTATGGTTGGGGGTCACCACAACATGAGGAACTGTATTAAAGGGTCACGGCATTAGGAAGGTTGAGAACCACTGTGTTAAAGCAAGTTCCCCGCCCCTAAATTGGCCACAGGCTTGGGAGTTTTACAATGAGCTATTTCACATTCAGTTCAGTGTTACAGTCAAGTAACTCCCTGGAGATGGAATCAATGTGGCATCTATTGGCCATTTTGTGATGGTGTGGGCAGATGCAACTAATCATCTGGTCCTGGCATTATATTCTAGGGATATTCTACTTGAGGCAGTGGGGAGACTGTTTTATTTCACAGTGGACTCTCCTCTGTATCCACTAGGTCTCCAAGTCAATACTTGGCTTAAAAATGTAGATCACCCTGAATAGCAGCTGAAGAGCAATAATGGGAGGGGGAGGAAGGAGTGTTAGTGCAAAGGAAGAGAGAGGGAATTCGACACTAATTCTTGTCCTTCTCACACTATAAATCAGGACACCACCATTTAGCAGCAAGCTAGAACAGAAGGTTCAGAGGATAAATTCAGAATAACAATCAGATCAGTAATTGTTATGCCAATATATTTTTTTCAGTATGCATTGGAATAATGCAACCTCCATCTGGAATCTCTCTTATGCCTGTGTACATGTCAGCTAGCTAAAAATATTTGTGTTTTGTATAAAAAAGAGAGGGGGGGGCTTCTTTTTGTGAAAGTTTCAAATCTTTAATAAAACAGAGAGTGTTCAGCAGATATGCCCTCCTCTTAAAATGTTAAGATTTCTTTCATATACTTAATATTTAGGAAATGGATGGCAGAACAAAATTTGAACCACGCTCAATTGCAAATGTTTGTATTGTGCCTTACGTAAGAATAGGGCTGGGTGAGGAATGGTAGCAGGAAAAACTTTAGAGGGCAAGATAACCTGTCTCATAAGGAATGGCTCACCTGTTTATCTGTGTCATTTTTATCATCAATCACTACCAGGTGAGCTTTGAGGCTTTGGCAGTTACTCATTGCCTTCTCCCAAGGTTGCTGATCAGCAGAGAAGTAGTAGCAATTTGTCTGGAACTTCAGCCAGCCTTTTGGACACTGAGGGATAACTGCAGGGCACAGAGCCATGCAATATGGTAAGTAAGAGGGTGTTGCAAGGATTCTATACTTCCATATTACTATACCAACTATGCCAATATGGTACAAATAAAAAACATCTGCTATCATTTTCCTAAGACTTATAAAAATGATACTAAAATTAATTAATTAAAAAGAAACTAACAAAAGAACCTCAAAGGGTAAACTGGATGGACTACTAGATCTTTTTCTGCCATTAATTTTCTATGTTTCTATGATTTTCCTTCAACCCCTCTACTTATTACAGCTTTAAAATGGAGTAATTTCCCCAATCTCTGGATAGCCAAAGCATGTATATTTCTGAAGGCATACTGCATTTCTACAGGGCCAAAGATTTTCTCACCAGATCACCACTTTTTGCTTCCTGTACGAATCATATAATTCTCCTCTATCTCTGCATCTAGGTGACTGAATGAACCGTACAAGAGAAATGCAATAGCATGAGTCACCTACAAAATTGGTTGATTAAAAGGAAATGAAAGTAGTATAGTGAACCTATTGTTTGGTGGGAAGCTGAATTAATTTATTTCTTATTGCCCATAAATGAGTTGTCTTGTAGCATAGTTTGATAATGACAATTAACATGGATGCGATTGAACATACATTTCAAAAAGGCCAGCAGGAAAGCAGCTGTTGCCATCAACAGGGATACACACACCAAGATGTAGAGGACGATCTTAGATGCTCTCGAAGAGATGCAACCCGTATGATTGGCAATATGCACAAATGAAGATGCCCCTGTAAATAACCAATAGAAAGTAAATGGATTACTATATTGTTCGATGGCTGGTCGAAGAAAGCAGAGCAAACGTATATAACCAGAAGGAGGCATATGTACAAAAGTCAGAATACTGAAAAGGGCCCATGCTTGAGTAATTTATCTCCCTCCCATCCCCGGGAAGGGGACACTGTGGGATATGAAGGGAAAGATGGGTGAGATAGGTCAAAATAATTTTACCTTGGCCATATGTCATAAACTTTTATACTTTTTAAACCTGTTCTTCTAGAAGGACAGAGAGGTTTAAAAAGGCAACCAGAAGTTCTGGTTTATAATTTATTGAAGATACTATACAATTCAACAGAGCCACCTAGACCTTAAAATGCTTCGAGATAAAATAAAAAAAAAAAACTAGAAGACTGCCAACAATTTCACAATCAAATATTCATAAAATCGCCATCTCATTCCTCTGTAGCACTGTTAATAATATAGCAATTGTTTAAATAGGCATGAATAGAGCATGTCGGGGGAGGGGGTCAATGAAATCATAAATATCTCCCCTTCACATTGAGACTTTTTAATTTTTCCCACACTAGAAAAATCCCCCATGATTTTAAATTTACATCCCTAGATGCTTTTGTGTTTTTCATACCTGACTTTGATTTCATTGCTCTTGTTCTATTTGGAGGTACAACGTTCTGATAATTTCTTTCAGAATTGTCCAGATTGCTTCCAAAGACTAGAAAAAGAAACACTGTTAAGTTCTGCTCTGTATAAGTTGCTATATAATAAAAGCTTGGTGTAGTTTGGTGTAGAGATTAAAGATGTTGGCCTAGAAACCAGGAGACTGTGAGTTGTAGTTCCTGCCTTATGCATGAAAAACTAGCTGGGAGATACACTTTTTCAGCCCAACTCAGAAAAGGAAGAAATATTGGTATGTTCACCACTTGAGGTGTGTGTGTGTGTGTAAAAAGGCTATAGCCCAGTGGTTCTCAACCTGTGGGTCAGGACTCCATTTGGGGTCGAACGACCATTTCACGGAGGTCGCCAAACAACGCAGTCTGACATTTTTTCCCCCTTTTCCTTAGCTGTGCTACTCCCTTTTATTCTATTGGCTTTTGAAAGCCAATAGAATAGACTCTCTTGAATAGAGTCTAATTCTATTGGCTTTCAAAAGCCAATAGGAATTGTCCAGGCTGTCTCTGCCCTGCTGAGCCCGCCAAAAGTCCCATTCTGCAACAGGGCTGCACCAGTTGAGTAGTCCTCAACTTATGACCGGTTGAGTAGTCCTCGACTTACGACTGGTTGGGGATTGCGGCATTAAAAAGGTTGAGAACCACTGCTATAGCCACATATGAGGTAAAGTCAGGCAAAAGTAATGGGCAAGTCATTGTGCCCAAGGCAGAAGTAAAACTTATAGTCTCCTGCTTTCCAGCCTGGTTCCTTAACTCACATCAAACTTGATGCTAACTTGAGCATGCCTCTCACCTCTACTCTGCCACCATTCTGCTCTAAAGAGTAGGATTTTTTTTTAAAAAAATCTATATTTTGAGCACAATCTTGTTCCTCCTGAATGCAAAGATTTCCCTGATGGCCTTTATAATGCACTGCAAAGACCTATGGTAGTCCTGGATACGCCTGAAGTTGACTTTAAAGGTTCTATTTGCAATGGACTGGTAACAGGGTCAGGTTGATTCTTAGTCCAGACTAGGGACTGTTCTCGCTTCACGGGTCCCTGGGCCTTTCCTGTTTTCCCAGATATTCAGATGCTTTTATCCTTTGCCCCCCCCCCTTCCCACATTCTCTGCCCTTTGGCACTAGATTTTTTTAGAAGGGGAGGGGCTTTGAGTCAGTGATGACTTCTAGTGACCACCTGGAAAACTCCCTGAAGTTTTCTTACCAAGATTTCAGAAATGCCTCTTTTGCCATTGCCTATTTCCTGGGCCTGAAAGAGAGACTGGCCCAAGGTCACCCATCTAGCACTGTGCCCAAGGTAGGAGTTGAAACTTACAATCTCCTAATTTCCAGCCTGGTTCTTTAACTACTATGCCAAACTGGTTCTCACAAAACTTGACCCTAAGATAGGCCTTTTCCCCTTTATTGCACCACCATTGTTCTGATTAGTAGCCCAGCTGACAGAGTATATGTATGGAGGAAGGGTGTGTGGTGAATTGGGGTGAAGTTCTGGTTGGTATGAAGGGTGGAAGAGCAAAAAGTCAAAGGTATGGATGGGAGCACAAAGAGAAACAGAAGTGAGTAAATGATCATGAGTTAGTTCTGCTCCTGACTAGTGCTATAAGTTCAAGGAATCCAGTTTCATGCTAGTGAAGAGTTTCAGATTCACAACTATCACCTTGGCCCATGATGCTACCACAGCCAGAATGGGATGGGATGGCATCCGTTGTCTTCCATCCAGCCTGGAATATAAGTAACTCTATTGTGCTATAAAACAGCTATGGGAAGTGCAGACACTAGTGATGTTACTAGCACTAATGATGTTATCTAGTTTAGGTAATGAAACATCTGCAAGAAAACAACCAAGCTCCGAGAGCACCAAGGACCCCTCATTTCAGTCCTGAGCTAGAAATATTCTCCTTTATTAGTACCCAATTCTGCCCCAGGAAGTGTTTCTCTGATCTTGTACAAGTTCTCAGAGGAAATAAAATAATAATAAAAATAATTAAAATACTCTGGGACTTTAGAATTCAAACAGGCAGGCACCTGCCACATAACACATCAGACTTAACAAGTGTCGATAAGAAAGATGAAAAGGTCTGATAGTGGATGTGGTAGTATCTGGAGACAGAAGAATAGAAGAGAAAGAACTGGAGAAGATAAAGACCTGTAAACAGAAATAGAACAACTTTGGCAAAAGAAAGCAAAGTTAGTATCAATAGTAATAGGCACCTTAGATGCAACCCCAAAACAATTGGAGCATCACTTGAACATATTGGCATTGACAAATTCACCATAAGTCAATTGCAAAAGGCAGCTTTACTTGGAACAACTTACATTCTGCGACAATTCCTCTGACACCATTAAACATCTCAGGTCCTTGGGCAGGACTTAATAGGTGGATAAAAATGTCAAATACAGTCTGAACATCTGGCTGACTTTGCAATGAGCCATATGAAACTCGTCAGCAGCAGAAGAGAAAACTTGTAATGCAGTCATTGGTGACAGAACTACCAAACTACTGCTCTGACCAGATTTATGTCAACCTGTGTGTGTTTTCAGGAAACCACATAAGGTCTGAAAAGTGTTATAGAACGTCAGAGTAGCCTGAAGTGGTTAGTGGTAGGTAAGCGGTTCCCTAACCTTGACCACAAAAGCAAATGTGGTCAGTAACATGTGCCAGATCATACCTGTTTTTCATTATGTCATGAAAAAAGACACTTTTTAAAAAACTGGAAGAGTTAAAAATGATTTTGAGCTGCCTCAGGCTTGCATTGTGGATGATACATAGTAATTTCATGTGGACAAAGCAAAAGAAGAGGTTCAGGTTGCCATAGAAAAATATAGCTTTCATAGTTATTAGTAGAAGCCTTTTCCTACCTTGCATCTGGCCTTCCATATTTCCTATTCCTCCGGTATGATAGGGCTCCAGAAATTTCTTCTAAAATAGGATCCAGATACTTCCCCAAAGACAATCAGTATTTTGTTTTGAGAGGATGGCAACGCTTTTTTTTGTGTTGCAAAACTCCAAGAAGTTCTTCCTGTAGTTTAGATACCAGACAAACAAGCACAAACATTTCCATGCTGGGACTTTTTTAGTTGTCACTCAGTCCCTTCATTGAGTGAGAGCTAACAGGGAAGGAAATGGCAACTTTATGGGGAAAAATATGGTGAATCCAGATAAAGTAGACTTGTTTCAAAGGAAGTCCTCTCATTAAGGGAAAGGAAAAATTAGGAAACCAAAGAGCTAGGAAACATGAAAAAGGATTTCAAAATATTTGAGGACAATGTACAATGGTATAGGGTGGCTATAGGGTCTCCTGCTTAAGCAGGGGATTGGACCAGATGACCTATAAGATCCCTTCCAATTCTGTTATTCTTCTAAACATCTGAACTTGACAGTCATATTCTCATAAAATGGTTTCCCTTTGGAAAAGTGACTGTTGAGGTGTTTTGAATCTCCCATGTGCGCAAAGCAAAACTAATAACTGTAGTTTTACTGTACAGTTCAAGCCAGAATTTATTTCCTAAGGTAAGTATATAAAACCTCTCTTTTGAACTCACCCGTGTTTGCTCTAACAGCCATTCCAATTAGGACAAATTGTAATGTGATGAGCATATCATTTTGCAGCATTCAGCCGTTGTTATGAAACAAAATTCGTTTATTATAATGATATTTTATACCGATTAAGCCTCCTGCTTGCCTCCCAGTTGCTTTGAGTTTGTGACGCGCGCTAGACGCCCGATCGAGACAGTTCTATATCTCTTTCTGCCATCTAGTGGCCGCCCAGTGTTTTTGCAGGCTAGTTCGGCGAGGGCGACGGGAAACTGGCTTGGCTGCGGACCCGTTGCCATAGCGACGCCTTCGGGTTCACGGTGCTTCCGCTGTGCGCTCGTTCTTTCCGGTCCTTCTACTGCCGGAAGAGAAAAGGAGCTGAAGGCGAGGGTTAATCTCGTTCTTTGGGTGAGAGATGGAGGGGGCGATTGCGAGGGGGGGGGAGGCTTGGTTTGCAAGATAAACTATTGTAGCCCATGCCCCCCCCCTTCCTGTCATGGTCGTGTTGCCCCAGGTTGTCTAATTTGGAGGGAGGTCTCACTCCAGGGGCAGTTGGTACCTGGCATGAGGAAGGTATTCCCTGCCTTATGTTACACTGAGTTTTAACATCGGATATAGCTGACGGGGCTGCTCCCAAGCAAATTTTGTGCGATGTAACGTTGTGCGGGTGTGGGGGGCCGGTACTTTAGCAATCTATAACTCCATCATAGAAAGCAAAACAATTCCCCCCCCCCCATGTAGTCTAAAGGAAACTCTCCCTGAAATGGGGGAGTTATGTAAGCCAAATTGTTTTCATAATTTACAATTATGAAGTTGATAGCAAAAGCATCTAAATCAGTGGTTCTCAACCTTTTTAATGCCGCGACCCCCAGCCGGTTGTAAGTCGAGGACTACTCAACTGGTGCAGCACCGTTTGCAGAATGGGACTTTTGGCGGGCTCAGCAGGGCAGAGACAGCCTGGACAATTCCTATTGGCTTTGAAAGCCAATAGAATTAGACTCTATTCAAGAGAGTCTATTCTATTGGCTTTCAAAAGCCAATAGAATAAAAGGGAGTAGCACAGCTAAGGAAAAGGGGGGGGGAAATGGCGGACTGCGTTGTTTGGCGACCCCCGTGAAATGGTTGTTCAACCCCAAATGGGGTCCCGACCCACAGGTTGAGAACCACTGATCTAAATCGTATTGTCATCCAGAATACTTTCAGGATCCAATCGGGGTCAGTCACGGGGACTGTTTCACTTTGGCCAATTAAAAGCTTCAGAAAAACCAACATAATGTAACAAAAGTTATAATGTTCTGTTACTGTTTTCAATTTCATCTGAATCAGAATGTTTTATGTTTATCATAAGTAACATTCATAGACCTGCTTTTTTGTATCATATGTATGTGTGTATAATTTAAATGTAGTTATTTTCATATATAAGTATGCATATACATATACATATATAATATAGATATAGATATAAAATAAAATAGTTTTCAACTTATGATCACAGTTTATCCCCAGATTTTGTTGCTAAGCAAGGCAGTTGTTAAATGAGTTTTGCTCACTTTTAGTTTTAGTGAGTTTTGATCCATTTTAAAACCTTTCTTCCACAGTTAAGTGAAGCACTGCAGTTTGCAGTCATTAAATGAATCATGCAGTTGTTAAGCAAATCTGACTTTGATTGTTGAAAACTGCCTGGAAGGTTACAGATAGTGATCACATGACCCCAAATGTTGATCATGTGATTGGGGGATGCTGCAATATTTTAAGTGTGAAAAACCATCATAAGTCACTTTTTTCGTTGGTGACTTCAAAAGTCACGAAATGAATGATTTTAAGTCGAGGACTATCTATATATACAATATAAATATAACCACATCATTTATATAAAATATAATCATATATATAAAATCATAAAAAACAAATGTATGGATGTTACTTATATATATTATATCTATCTATCTCTTAAAAACCACATCATTTAAATGAATGGCTTTCACTCTAAATTCTATATATTAAACATTACGTAATGCAGGTATACAGTATTAGCTTTCCAGTCTGGTGAATAAGTTGATGGTTTCCCAACCATCAGTTTTAATTATTTTGTATGATGATCTCTAGTGTCAAAAGGTGGAGGAAGATATTCGCATAGACATTGTTGAGTCACTGAAAAAGTTTTTACTTTTTCTCTCCCCCACTCACGTGTTTCTTTGTTTCTAAATTAAACAGCACTATGTATTGTAGCCATGTATTTATTGCCTCGATAACTTTTTTTCCTCAGTAGCACTATGGATGCGCGTTTTACTCGTGGAAAGTCTGCTATCCTTGAACGTTCACTCACCCGACCCAAGACAGATGTAAGCCTCAGTGCCTTTTCCCTGCTGTTTTCCGAGATTGTACAGTACTGCCAGAACAGGGTCTATTCTGTTTCTGAGCTTCAGAACAAACTTTCTGAGCTGGGCCAGCAGGTGGGAGCTCGTATCCTGGATGTGCTGGTAATGCGAGAGAAAAATGGTAAGCGGGAAACCAAGGTCATCAATATTCTGCTCTTCATCAAAGTGACTGTTTGGAAGGCTCTCTTTGGGAAGGAAGCTGACAAGCTTGAGCAAGCCAACGATGACGACAAGACCTACTATATCATTGAGAAAGAGCCTCTTATCAACACTTACATTTCAATTCCCAAGGAGAACAGCACCCTCAACTGTGCTTCCTTCACTGCCGGCATTGTGGAGGCCATGCTCACTTGCAGTGGATTCCCTGCTAAAGTCACAGCCCATTGGCACAAAGGGACCACACTCATGATTAAATTTGATGAGTCAGTTATCACACGTGACAAAGCGTTGGATGGCCGTTGATATATTTTGTATAAATAAATTTGAATTGTCCTTGTGTGTATATGTATATATAGAGTATGTATAGATACATGCACACATTCTACGATAAAGTAATTTATTCCTATGTACTTTGAAACCCTGATTATATGCAAATGGTATTTGGTGAGGGAAATCAAGATCCAGCATCAGAAAAGGTTACTGGGTTTAATAATGCCCTTTTCAATTTAGTTCTTGTCATATAATCCTTGACTTCTAGGCATTCTGGAAAGAGCTGTAATCTCAGATGTCTGGGAAAGGCAATATATTGCATTTCTTTGTTACTGTCCTGTTGAAGTTTGACAATATTAATGAAACAATGTATGCTCTACCATCAGATTATTTGCTTATGCTGTTGTCCTTTTTACTTAGTTCTTTCAATTATTTGTGACTATTGCAGCCAATTTTCTTTGTGTACCTGAAATAAGAAATTGGACCTATGTTGATGTTTCATCTAAAATATATATTTTTAGAGCTGTGGTCAAGAGTGAAGGTTTTGCCTATTTTTGTGAACTGTGCTTTTCACTGATGATGCTGTTTTTGCTCTGAGTACTAGGAGATAAATCTGCTTGACTATCTACCTGCAGAGACTGGGATAGATTATTAAGTAAAGCTCTTTTGAGACTTGGGCCAAAACCAACCCACATTTCCTATCAACTTAATCAGCCCTTCATACAGCTCTTTCCTGCTATATTTTGGGAAAGGGGGGAGGGGAATAATTACAACTGCAATCTACATGATTATCTCTCTTTTTAGAAAAAGTAAATGAGAAGACCATGAGCATAGACTTCATACAGAACAGTAAGCTATAGCTTGCTTATATGGATAGAATGCATGACGGGTACCAGACTTGAGCATTTTTTCAAGTTCATGTAAACAACCCAAAGTTTTACAGTTAGTGCTTAATAATTAACCAGAATTTCTTCAATCCTAGTTTTGGGAGCAAAATGAAAATTAGTCCTAGTTATTTCTTCTCCCAGCTGCAAAGTGGAGTGTAGACCATTGTGTTTTCAAATCTTGGCTTAAACTCTATTCATATATGTAATTTTGACCAGCTTTATCCAAGACTGATTTGTCATTTAATATATCAGTCTGTTCTTACTGTTTAATGCACTTGATGTTTTGGAGAATTGGTTTACTGAAAAAAATAAACTTGGTGAAATAGCCCTTTAAGGACTGTTTTTAATCTCTCCTGAATATAGCCCACTCGACATCAGTTCAGGCTTCCGAATGCTCTTCAAGTCTGCCCCATGTAGAATGCATTGCAGTAGTCTAAGTGTGAAATGAGTAAGGCTTGGGTGACTAAACACAGTGACTCCTGATCCAGCAAAGGCTGCAACTGGTGCACAACCCAAAGTTACGCGAAGGCTCTCCTAGCCACAACTGCCATCTCCTCTCCAAGCATTAGTTGCGAGTCCAGGAGAACCCCAAGTTGCAGATCAAACCTATCTGGGGTAGTGCTACCCTATCCAGAGCTAAAGATATCATAGTGCCAGATCTTGAAGCTTTAGGGACCCAAAGCCATTTGGTCTTGCCAGGGTTCAGCCGAAGGTGCTTGTCCCCCATCCAAACTCTCACAGCCTCCAGACACCATGAGAGGGAAGCAGTAGCCTCACTTGGAGATGGAGATATAAAGTTGAGTATCATCCACGTATTGATGATATCCATGGTGATGGATGATCTTACTCAGCAACTTCATGTCAGTATTAAAGGAGTGGAGAGAGTACTGTCCATGTGGCATGCCAAAGAAGAGCAGCTATGGATTGGATCTCTCCCTATCAACACCAATTGGGACCATCTTTGGAGAAAGGAGTCAAACCAGTGCAAGACTGTGCTGTCTGGCCCCAGACCCCCTAGCCAGCCCAAAAGGATACCGTGGTTGGTGGTGTTGAAGGCTGCTGAGAGGTCAAGGAGAGCAAGAATGGTTGCACTATCCCCATCCTGCTCCTTGTCAGAAGTTTTCTGAGATTAAACTGTCAAACTCAGAGGAGTAGTTTGTAGCTACTCTATGTAGCTTACCTGGATTTTGTATATTTTTAATGCAAACAGGTAAATGCAACTGGGGACAGGGAAACCTGTGATGTATAAGTTTCTGGTAATTTGTTCTGGCCCGCTGTTTATTTTTTATATTCCCTTTCCTTCTTTATTTGGAAAAAGAAATTCTTTCAGATGTTAGAAAACTGAATCTGTGATGAAGAGGTGGTTGGCACTTCTGTTGTGAATACTGGATAAGGAACACTGCAATCCAGTGAATGTATACTGGCTTGACAGGGAAGAAGGTGGGGATCCTGAGCCAAACCTTTCCTTCTCCAACAAATGGAGGACTTAGCT